AGGGAGCCGACCTCCTCCGCCTGCGGGAGGGCACGCCGAGAGACCCCGGGCGCTGCGCGCAGAGAGCGGCCTCCCCGGGCCCCCCTCGCGACGTGCAGAAGAGCACGTTAACGGGTGCTGCGCTTCTGTCTGCGGGCCCCCTGCATGGGGCCGTCGCGGGACGGCTCCGGGAGAAAGCCGGGTCCCGGGGGAGGGTCCAGGCCCCCAGACCCCCGCCGCCATGATGGCTCTGGGCGCAACATGCCCCCCCCCAAATTCTGGATCCACTCCCCAGGACAAGGTTCTCGTCCCGAGTCGTTTGTCGACCGTCCCGGGGCCCGGCAAGGGCCCCCACAGGCCGAAAAGTGTACGCAACACCGATCGCCGCACCTTTCCACAACGCGAGGGCCCACGTCATGAAACACAGCGAAAAAATGACGCCGAGGCTCTCGGAGTGGGCTCCACTGCGCGACCGTCGGGGGCGGCGAGGCGCGGGGAGGGGGAAGCGAGCCCGAGAGCGCGGGCCGGTGCCAGGGGCTCCCCGCGGGGGCCGGCACTGCTCGCCACATCTGCCAGGGGTGCCACAACCCCGGGGGCCCGCACCGAAAGCCCCGACACCCGACGGCATGACGCGTCGCTTTGGGGTCCCGAAGGGGTGCGGTGACAGACCGTGCGGTGACCTCGGGATGCCCAAGGACCTCACCGCACAGCCCGTCGACGCACGGTTTGGGGCCTCGGATGCCCCGGGCGCCCGAGACGTCCTCGGAGAACGACCCAACTCCCAAAACCGTGCGGTGACCCCGAATCCCCACCGAATCACCACACGGCGTGGGTCACCGCCGCGTTTGGGGGCCCCCGACTTTCCTACTCGGTGCGTTTGCTATATGGCTCTTATTTGTTGGTTGTTCTCCTTGCCTCCACATCGGCGGCAGGCAGGAGGAGGAGGAGGAGGAGGAGGAGGAGGAAAAGGAGGAGGAGGAGGAGGTGGAGGAGGGGGAGGAGGACGATGAGGAGGAGGAGGAGGAGGAGGAGGAGGAGGAGGAGGAGGAGGAGGGGGAGGAGGGGGAGGAGTTGACCCCGGATCCCCACAGACTCACCACACGGTGTGGGCCCCCAGAGCTCTCGGCCCATTTTCCCCAGGGTGGCCTTTGCATCCCGGATCGTTGTTCAACGGCCCCGGGGCCTGGCGCGGGTTTCCGGGTCCAGGGGCCGGACATACAATTGAAAACAAGTGCCCCGGCTAGGTCCCAGGACACTCCTGGGCGATCCCCCCAGAACGCCCCAGGGGAGGGCCATTTTTCGACACCTCTCACGAGGATCGTGGCCTCCAAGGGGGGAGCCGCAATCGACTACCTCCCCCTCCCGCCGCAAGAAGCCCCCAAGAGCCCCCCAAGAGGCCCCAGGGGCCCCCAACAAGCCGCCAAGGAGCCCCAAGAGGCCCCCAAGAGGCCCCGAAGAGGCCGCTCCAGGGCCGGCGGAATGAGCGAAGCGATGAACAACATAAATTGAAAAAACAGCCTCCCCTGGAGTTTTTGTTCACAGCGCGAAGGGTCTGGGAAAGTCACTCTGGCGAAGGGTCGCCCTTTACGCGAATCCCGTCGCAGACATCAAAAAAAAACGCAACGGAATCCTTAAACCCAATCCTTCTGCTGCATGTCTCGAGCTGGATCGACCCTTATGGCCCCCATGACGAAAAGCCTGAACGGCCCCCCGGGGCCCGCATCAGAAAGGCCACTCTTGGGCTTCCTTTGAGTGCTTTCAAACTCTCGGAAACCAAATTGACGTCAAGCGGTCGTTTGGGGCCGCTGGGCGTGCGCATCAAGTGCATGTTGGCATTCTATATGCTACTGCGTTTGAGCATACCTCAACGAGGCTAGAGTGGTCGTTGCGGTAGGGTCGTTTTGGGCATGCCCGAACGAGCCCCCCCCCCGATCACGGACAGTGAGAAAAACCCTCGTGTCGGCGGCGACGAGAAAGGGTGAATAGCCCAGGGGCGGGCATTACACGCATTCGCCCGGAAGCCTTGTCGAAGACATTGATTATCGGCGCCCCTGGATACAGTCAGGCCGCTGAAAGAACGCCAGATAAGGAACGAAGCCCCTTCTTTGACCCCAAACCCGCCTGCGTGGACGAGGAAGGCTGGAGAACTGGCCATGGACGGACCTACTCAATGTAAGGAACGTCGAGCCCCTTCCCAACCCGAACGGTTCCTTAATTCAGCGTCTTGGCTGTATATGCATTGCTCTCCCCTGGGCTATTCGCCCCTGTCGTCGCCTCTGCTCGTAGGCCCCACGCCAGAGCGGCCCCTCCGGCGAGTGGGCACCCCTTGCTGTCGCTTATACTGCCGAGCGCCCCGATGCCCTCGGCCTGGCCAGCCTGGGCCTCGGCCACGCGGGGCTTGATACCCTTGGGGAGACCACAAGGTACCGATGCCGCTACTCTGAAGTCGGGCCTGTCCCCCTACAGGGGGATTTTCGACGGAAAACAAATACTCCATCAATACGCCAAATGGTCAAAAAATACTCAAAAATAGTCCCCAGAATATTTTTGACTATTTTTGGGGTATTGCTTATTTTTCGGCGAAAATCACCTGTAGGGGGACAGGCCCAACGTAACGCTACTCCCCGGACCTCTCCTGGGGTGCGTTCTGATCAGCATCTCGGGGCGAATCCAGCGGTGGCGACGAGATCCTGCGAGGAGGCCCAAAAAGGGGAAGACGGCCGGAGGGTAGAGATATGGGTACCTTTTCCTGCCCTGAACTCTGACGACCCTGGGACGATCGGCATTCTTTCGATCGCCTGAAACAGGCCACATCGGCCGATCCTGGGCAACTGGCTGGGCTCAACTCTAGAACGTCCGCGGCGGGGTCGCAGCCACGCCGGTACGACACGAACCTACCCCAGGCCCCCGAACTTGTGATGCTTTCACAAACTCGACCCCCAAAGATGTCGACCCCCATTTCCCAGGACAAGCGTTTGACCCCGAGTCCCGGGGCCCGGCGAGGACTCCCAGGGGCCGAAGCAAGCGAAACCCCGTCAGTCGCGCGAACCGCCATGAAGTCTTTAGAACCCCCCCATCGTGGAAACCATTTCTTTCGACGCCCTCATTGACGGACAGGGCTCCCGCAGATAGTGGGACATCCTTTTTCTTCTCCTCGGCTCCCGCCGCACCACAAAGATGATGGCTACGATTACGACTACGACTGCGGCTACGACTACGATTACAACTGCAACTGCGACTACGATTACGACTACAACTACGATTGCCACCACGGATACGATGAAGACTACAATCGCGACCACAGTCACGATGCCAATCACGATTACAACCAAAACTACAATCACGCCTACCACCACAACCAACTTTTCCCTCTTGCAGTCCCCATGAGAAGATGATCATCAATCCTCTCGCGTGTAGGGTAGACCACACTGGCTTCTCCCTGGGGGAAAAAAACCCAAAACATAATCCAGCCTTCCCAAAACAATAAAGGGAAACTGATCTCCACCGCGACGACGACGATTATGATAAAGACCACGAGAAAGGAGCAGGAGGAGGACGAGGAGGAGGAGGACTAGTGCAAACTCAAGAGTCATCAACGATGTTGGAATAAACCCTCCCTCCAAGCTCCCTCTCCATGGGCCCCTACAGAGGTTCGTTTCCATTGAAGGAACTGCCTCTTTCGAAGACAATCGTTTGAAGACCCTGAAGCATGCCAAAACATTGTTCCCATTCCAACGCCACGGATCAGTCTGACTGTTGCGTCTTGACAATCCTGAGTCGTGCCAGAGCGCCATTCCTGGGACGTGTACACAGCGAATCAACATAATTATTGCACCAGCATAATCCTGAACCCTTTCAAAACAACATTTTTGGCACGTTGATGATGATGGGAATCCTTGAAACTCTTGCAATTTGTTGAAATCAAGTGCGCCGCGCTAAGGCGAGAGCCACGTATTGGACAGGAGCCGCCCTCAATCCGTGAAACTCTTGCATTTGTTTGAACCGAATGTGCGCCGCGCTAAGGCGAGAACCACGTATTGAAGACCACCCGCCCTCAATCCGTGAAGCCCTTGCAAATGTTTAAAGCGAATGTGCTCCGAGCTAAGGCGAGAACCACATTCTGAAAACCACCCGCCCTCACTCCGTGAAATTCTTGCTGTTGTTTATAATGCATGTGCACCGCTCTAAGGCGAGAACCAAATTTGGCAAGCCACCCGCCCTCAATCCGCGAAGCTCTTGCAAATGTTTAAAACGAGGGTGCGCCGCGCTAAGGCGAAAGCCACGTTTTAAAAACCAACCGCCCTCAATCCGCGAAACTCTTACAACTTTTCAAAGCGAGTGTGCGCCGCGCTAAGACGAGAGGCACATTTTGAAAACGACCCGCCCTCCAGCTGCGAAGCTCTTGCCAATTTTTGAGCTTCAGAGTCATAACTGGTGAGGAAGTCTCAGGCGAAACGCCCAGCCCGTCCTAAAAACTGGCCTCGGGGTGCGACAGGGAGAAGAGGAGGAGGAGGAGGAGGAGGAGAAGGAACAGGAGGAGGAGGAGGAGGGGGAGGAGGAGGAGGAGGACGAGGAGGAGGAGGAGCGGGAGAAGCAAGGGCGAGTTTTTGTTCCCCGCCGAGGGGGGGGCAAACCTAGAGACCTCCTGAGGCTATCCTTAACGAACCTCCCGTACGGCCAGACCTTGGACAAAGGCACGCCCCCCCCTCCGCCGAACAACCCGGAGGACACTCGAGGGTGTACCTTCCCACAGGATGATCCAGAGCATCCCACAGACACGAGGAACAGTAAGAGACGCTCCCCAAATCGACCTCGATCTCAAACCTCGGTCCGACCGCGCGCGCATTGCCGAACGCCCCGACGCCCTCCGCCTGGCTGGCCTCGGCCTCGGCCACGCGGGCCGCGTGCGCGGAGCGGAGCGAGGCCAGCTCCTCCTGGTGCAGGGCGGCCGCCTCGGCCATCTCCTGCGAGTGCACCGCCTCCAGCTCGGCCATGGCGCCCAGGCACTCCGCCTCCACGTCCTCTGGCCACGAGCGAGGGCCAACCCCCCGACGATCTCTGGTGTGAATGCGAGCCAGGCGCTTTTCCTCGATGTCGGCCTCCAGGGGGCCGCTTGCGGGGCCCGGGCCATCAAACATGGATCTGGGGCGCGAAACTAACTCCGGGGAACGGGCCAGGAGCTTCGGAGCCGCGTCGTGAACAGAAACGCGATGGACAGGGTTTTGATGTCTTCGGACTCTGAGGACGCTCGCCCGGCCCTTGGCCTGTCGAACAAATTATTCTGCTTCGAGCGATCCCCACCGAAACATTCGTCGTCTGATCCCGAAGGTGCGCGCGCTCATTGGAAAGATGTGCACGGGGCGCGGTGGTCTCGGCCAGTGCGGCGGTCGGGTCATGTCGCAAGTTGTGTTGTGAGGTGTAGTTTTATGCTATGTTATGTGTGACCAAGTCTGTCATAGCTCATGGTGATGTGTTATGCTATGCTTTGCCATGCTCAAGCATCTTATGCCGCGCTCTGTCATTCACGCGTTGCCATGGTACGTGATGATATGTGATGTGACGGTGTGTTGTGTTGTCGGTTGTTATACCATGTTATATTAGGTGGTCATATGCTGTGCCAGGCTATGCTAAGCTATGTGGTAGTATCTTGCGTGTGCTCCGATATTTGATCACATGCGTTGTTATGCTGTGCTGTGGTGTGATAGTGCACGTTATACCATGTGACGAAGTGAGCTGTTCTAGGTTGTCATGTTCATGTATGCGTTGAGTTGTTATGAAATGCTTGAGTTGTCACATAATGACATGATATGCGATGTGATGCGGTCCTACAATATGCACTGCTATGCGATGGTAGGTTACGATATGGTCTGCTATGATATTGTCAGAGTGAGGGGGTCGAACGGCCATTAATTGCCCCTTGGTGCGTGGCTGAATAAGGGAATTCGTAGTGACAAGTATGTTTGTTGTTGTATGGCTGTTGTTGTTGGTGTTGGTGTTGGTGTTGGTGTTGTTGTTGTTGTTGTTGTTGTTGTTGTTGTTGTTGTTATTCTTCTTGTTCGTTGTCTTCGTCCCACCCGCGATCCACCCGCGACCCACCCCGCGACCCACCCCGCGATCCGCCCCGCGACCCACCCCGCGACCCACCCCGCGACCCAACCCCGCGACCCACCCGCGACCCACCCCGCGACCCACCCGCGACCCACCCCGCGACCCACCCGCGACACACCCCGCCACCCACCCGCGACCCACCCCGCGACCCATCCGCGACTCATCCGCAACCCACCCCGCGACCCACCCTCAAGGGAGGGAAAACCACCCGGACCCGACAATTGACGTTTACGGAACGGCCGTGGGCGTTTACTAAACAGCCCCTTTCCTGTTCGATTCATTCCCTTGCGTGCGTTTACTAAACGGATTCGATTGTCGGGGTGGTTATTCTGGGATGAAGTTTCTGCCCTCTACACCCGCGACCCACCCGCGACACACCAGCGACCCACCCCGCGACCCCCCCGCGACCCACCCGCGACCCACCCCGCGACCCACCCCGCGACCCACCCACGACCCACCCGCGACCCATTTGCGACCCACCCACATTGGTTTAACGAAAAAATCGGCGCCTGCGGCGGGCTCGTTTTACGTAGCACCCCGCAGATGCGGATAAGAGTGAGGGGGCGGTGGGGACTTCGGCAGTTTCGAGACTCTGGGGGAGCCCGCCGCGGGCGCCAAAGTTCCACAAATTATACAACGAGCCCGCCGCAGGCGCAGATTTTTTCGTTAAACCAATGTGGGTAGGTCACGGGTGGGTCGCGGGTGGGTCGCTGTTGGGTCGCGGTTGGGTGGCGGGTATATAGGGCAGAAAATTCATCCCATAAAAATCACCCCGACAAGCCAAGTTGTTTGCGGACACAAGCAAGAAACGACTCGAACAGGAAGGGGCTGTTTAGTAGACGCCCATGGCCGCTAGCGAACCTCAATTGTTGGTCCGGGTGTGTTTTCCTCCTTTGGGGGTGGGTCGCGGGGTCGCGGGTGGGTCGAGGGGTGGGTCGCGGGTGGGTCGCGGATGGGTCGCGGATGGGTCGCGGGGTGGGTCGCGGGTGGGTCGCGGGGTGGGTCGCGGGTGGGTCGCGGGGTGGGTCGCGGGTGGGTCGCGGGGGGGTCGCGGGGTGGGTCGCTGGTGTGTCGCGGGTGGGTCGCGGGGTGGGTCGCGGGGTGGGTCGCGGGGTGGGTCGCGGGGTGGGTCGCGGGATGGGTCGCGAGTGGGACGAAGACAACAAAAATCAACAACAACAACAACAACAATTACTAGCACGTGGGGACACTCCGTTCTCACCAGTGCCAGGGTTTTCATAGGAGGCGGGCAATACCCCCACTTTGTGGGGGGGCCGGTTCAAGCTCTACCAAATTTCCAAACGACTCTTCGCCACCACCCACACCCAGCTTCCCGCCCTATGACGTTCGGACACTTCACTTCGTGGCATGCGGACGACCGTGGCTACTATTCAGGGCCCCGCGGCCGACGACGACGGCGTGCGCGCGCGAAGAAAAAACGAATGTGTCCCGCATGGTATTATTTGACAGGGATGATGGCCCTGGCAGGTGCGCAACCGTTGTTGCAGAAGTTCGAAAAAGTTGCTCGCAAAAGCCCGTTTGACAGAAATGTTTAAAAAGTGTTGGGTTTCCTACAAATCCGCAAGAGCGCGCGGGATGAATTTTGACACTTTTTTTTTGAAAAACCATTGTTTTTTTATGTTTTTATGTTAAAATCGCTACGAACACTAAGGTTTTGGAAGGATTTCGTCTTGCGCGCGCGAATGTCCACTTTACCTTATTTTTTGCAAGGGATTCTTGAAGTTTGGTTATATTAGAACAAGAAATGACCACTTTAGCTTATTTGTTGCAAGGGAAAACCGATCGTAACAACACAACCGGATCTGGTACACATCGTTTTGCCTGAGACTTCCTCACGAAAATGATGAAAACATTGCTGCGGCCTAGGCGCGGCGAGGGGGCCATGCACCAGGGGTCCCAACAATAATTATTCTTTAGAATAAATAATGTTCAACAACAACAACAACAACAACAACAACAACAACAACAACAATTACAACAACATCAACAACACCACCACCAACAACAACAACAATACCAACAACAACAGCAGCAGCAATAGCAACAACATCAGCCCCCGAGCAGACCTCCGACGACTGGCCGACGCCACTGGTTGAGACCGAGGTGGCCGATCAGGGCCCGTCACTTGGCCAGGCGCTGGTCGCCCCAGCATTGGCCGTCGACGCGGCGGCCTCGTCCAGCAGGCGGCGACGGCATGCGACGTTTTGCACTCAGTGCCAGCTGCCCCGGACCGGCGGCCAGGCTAAGAGAGACGAGTCTCTCTTGAAATGCGTGGAGTGCGAGGGCGGCATCGAGTACCGAAAGTGGATATACCGGTGCTCCTCCTGCCCCACGGTCGTCTGCAGGCATTGCGCCTCCCAGCAGGAGCAGCGACCGTCCCAGCAGCAGCAGCAGCAGCAGCAGCAGCAGCAGCAGCAGCAGCAGCAGAGCGCGGCACCAGCAGCAGCGGTGGACTCGCTCTTGGAGGTGTTGTCCCTGCAGGCACCTCCTGCCGCTGTCTCCGACAGCCCGCCTCGGGCGGCTGCAGGTGAAGTACGTGGGCCGAGTCAGCTACTGCTGGCGCTTCGACAACTGCCGGTCGTTCGCCGCGTACCGGTGCCCACGCGGTTCGCTCGCCAGTACGCCGCTGTCCGCTTGCAGGCCCTCGACAGGGTCATGGACGCTGTGGACTCTGACCTCCCATCGTTGGTGCAGGAGGAGCTCAACCTACTGGCGCTCGCGGTGCCGCACCTCCTGCTTCGCGAGCGCGTTGCCGAGCCAGACGAGCATGCCGCAGTCCAGCCGGACCCTGACGAGGCCGGCGGGGAGAAAGACCAGCCCCAGCAGAGCTTCGCCCGCCTCCTCCGCGCGAGGATGCAGCTCGCCAGTGCTGCTCAGTGGCTTGACCTCGTCACTGCTGCCGCTCAGGACGAACGCAAGTGGGCTGCGGGTCATGCTGAGCGTGGCGCTGGACTTGCCAACCACCTTCGGGACGCACCGCCTGCTCCTGTTACCGCCGATGCAGGCGGGGAGCCGGCCACCCAGCAGGACTCTACGTCTACGTGGACTCGTGCTTTGGAGGCCGCCGACATCGGCGACCTCCGAAAGGCCAAGCGCCTGCTGACAGGGGCGAAGCTCCTCCATCCGACGGAGGAGACGTACAAGAAGCTGACCGCGCTGTTGCCGCCTGCTTCCGCCGAGGCTCGCGCCTCGCGACCGCCGGCCCCGCCAGTGTCCAAGTGCAGCCCCGTCGAGTGCAAGCAGGTCCGCGCGTGCATCTGGAGCGCTCGTGCACTGGCGCATGCCGGGCGGGGATCGTAACTCCCACGCCCAGGCGCTCCTCAGGAGCCCGCGCGCGACGCGGACACTCTCAAGGTGGGCATCGATGTGGGCCTGCCGGCAGTTGCCGGCCTTCATCCGGCAGCCGTGGCTCCACATGCAGCTCATTGCCTCGGACGCGGGCGGGGGCAAGGCGCGCCCCATCGTGTTCCAGGAGGTCCTGTTCAAGCTCGCCGCGGGCACCATCAGCCGCGCGGAGCTCCACAGGGTTCCCGCGCACGTCGGCAGCAACCAGCATGCGCTCGGCGCAGAGAGTGGCACTGCCGCCCTCATCACCGAGGTCCAGGCGGACATGGCGGCCCACCCGCACTGGGTCTACCTCGGGCTCGACCTCGAGAACGCCTTCGGCACTGCCCGCCGCCAGGCCGCCTACGAGCAGGCCCGCGCCTGCTCTCCGCGCACGGCGACACTGCAGCACAACATGTGGTTCGGGGGAGTCCGGCAGCTGTGCTACGTCCAGGCGGGGGAGCAGTCACTGACGCTGGAGATGCAGGAGGGTTGCTGCCAGGGCGCTTGCAGTGCAACCTCGGACTTCGGCCTCGCACTCGGCCAGCATTCGCGACATCTCTGAGGC